TATATATATATATATATACGACAATGAGCAAAACTTGCCTTAGCCAACAGCACATAATATTACGACAAAGAGATGGCTACGTATCGAAGAATTTATTAAAGATGCACTGTAAATCTGGGAGTGTTACCACAACACCGAAATCGGTGTAAATTCTTGCAGCTGTGTGGACACCGATTTAGTGTTTACTTACACTCATTTTGGTGTTAAAATACACCTTTTCAGTGTTAAATATATGCAGCTGTGTGAACACCGAATTGGTGTAAATCTACACTACGAGTGTAAAATAACACCTCCGAAGATCTTTTCACACTCTATTGGTGTAAATAGCTTGCAGCTGTGTGAACACCGATTTGGTGTAAATCTACACTACGAGCGTAAAATAACACCTCCGAAAGTATTTTTACACTGTTTTGGTGTAAATAGCTTGCAGCTGTGTGGACACCGATTTGGTGTAAATCTACACTACGAGCGTAAAATAACACCTCCGAAGATATTTTTACACTGTTTTTGTGTAAATAGCTTGCAGCTGTGTGGACACCGATTTCGTGTAAATCTACACTACGAACGTAAAATAACACCTCTGAAGATATTTTACACTGTTTTGGTGTAAATAGCTTGCAGCTGTGTGGACACCGATTTCGTGTAAATCTACACTACGAGCGTAAAATAACATTTCCGAAGATACTTTTACGCTGTTTTGGTGTAAAGCACCTTGCAGCTGTGTGGACACCAACTGGTGTTAATCTACACTACGAGCGTAAACTAACACCTCCAAAGGTCTTTTTACACTGCATTACGTACTTAAATGTACATCCAATTGATGTCTAAAGTAGCTATATTCAATATAAACTTAATGTAATGTAAAAATACCTTTTTGTATAAATGCTGCTTAAGATTGTATGTTATTAACTCAATTTAACTGAATTACTAAATTAAAACAATGAAGAGAATAGAAAGTACAAATGTAAATTATATATTTTTAGAGTTTAAAACTATAGTCTATGTTACATATTTCGATTCAGTTGAATTATTTCAACATAGTTTATATCAATCACTATCCATATTACCAAAGCAATTGAATGTACTCGAGCAAGACGGTGTGGCGTCGACGGCTGTGATAGTACCCAGCACAATAGATTACTTCATACCCCACGTAGACTAGACCTGTCAAACTGGTTCTCATTCGGATACCCCACAACAGGCGATGAAAGACTCCAGCCAGCAAACCAGGAGCAGATTAGCAGATGATAAGGACAGTGCACAACAATCAGGAGCAGGTGAAAGTACGGCTGATACTAGATCTTATGTCACTCATCGCACTGACCACATATCTCTAATGGTGTTACCAGCTGTTATCAAGAATGATAAGAAAGAACTGAAGGTTAACGTGATGTTAGACCCTTGTTCCACCGGTTCATATGTGACTGAAGCTGCTGCTGCTGAAGAATTGCAATTGAACGGAGAAACGTATGAACTGACAATCTCGGGTACTGGTGGATCCCAAGTTAAAAAACAGTCTAAACAAGTAAACTTGGTTGTCACAAGCTTAAACAGAAACTTTTCAGAGACCTTATCTGCTAATGTCCTGGAGAATATAACTGGAGACACACCCGCCTTTAATTGGGCAGACTTGAAAGCAAAGTGGGCCCATTTGGCTTCCATTTCCTTTGAGCAAACTTCAAGACAAAAGCAGATAGATGTGTTGATAGGCAGCGATCACCCATTGTTTCACCATGTTCTGAAGGAAGTGCACAGTAGTAAAACTACAGACCCAATAGCAAGACTTACCAATTTAGGTTGGGTTTGCTTTGGGCCTGCCATTGTTGAGGAACATCGGCGTAAACCACATTCATATTTTACACATACTTACCGTTCAAGCCAGGTTGAGCAGCCAACCATTCAGCAACAAGACCACCAGCTCCGACAATTCTGGGAGCTTGAAGCTCTGGGAATCAAGGACACTGACGACAGAACCTTTGACGAGAAAGAAGCAGTAGTCAGTAACAGAGAGTACAATTTATGACAAGGGAAGATATTCTGTGGGAATCCCTTGGAAGAAAGAAGAACCAAACTTGAACAATAACTATGATATGGCGTTAATAAGACTTAAGAGTCAGGAGAAAGCGCTCAATGTGTCACCATTTTGTGCACAATTTATCGTCCAGAAACATGTGAAGGATAAAGCAGAACATTATCCCGAAGCTGCAGACACGGTTAGCAACTCCATGTACGTAAACAACGTTTTTGATTCAAGCAAGATTTCCAAAGATGCCATAGAATTAAGGAGACAACTTTCAGAGTTGTTGAATTGAGCGAGTTTCCGACTTCGAAAGTGGTCATCGAATGACAAGTCAGTACTAGAAGACGTGCCAGAGGAAGATCGACAACCCGGCTTAGAGATACGCGAAGATGGATGCCCAACGGGAAAAGTGAAGACCGTCGGAGTGACATGGAAATCCGAAAACGATGTATTCACACATCACATACCTGGAATGGATACATTATCAAGTGACACAGGAGAAGAGTGTAAAATAGTGCGAACAAATGCCACTCGAGCATTGGACAGTAAGGAATTGAATCCACAGAACTTTTCAGATTTCAGACAACTTGTTCGCGTAACAGCATGGGTACGGCGTTTTACGAGCAACTGCAAATGTTGACCAGAGCAAAGAGATCTAAGCAAAAGATTATCGATTTAAGAAGTAAAGAGAGCAGAATTTTATTGGTTCAAACGTGCACAAACAGAAAGGTTTCAAGACACTAAAGGACGGAAAAGTCTGGAGAACTTGAATCCCATGAAAGACGAGGATGGACTTCTTCGTATAGACAGACGCTTACGCCACACAGACATACCGTACGAAAGTAAACATCCAGTAATTCTACCCAAAGAGCACCCTATAACGGAACTTGTAGTAAGAGCGGTTCATGAACAACTCGGACATGGTTCTGGAGTAGAACACACTCTTTCCGAATTACGTAGTAGGTTTTGGGTGATAAGAGGACGGGCTGTAGTACGTAAAATCCTTAATCATTGCCAAATGTATAAGAAACGCTTTATGGCTAAACCTGTTGGTCAAATGATGGCACCGCTGCCGAGACCAAGAGTAATTTCATTGATGAAAGCCTTCTGTAGAGTAGGAGTAGACTACGGAGGCCGATACCTGACAAAACAAGGTCGCGGCAAGAGTAGAGCAAAAAGATAATCTCTGTTTATTTACTTGCCTTGTGACACGCGCAGTACATTTGGAAATGGCCTATGCGTTAGACACAGATTTGTTTATGAATGCATTCGCCCGGATGGTGTTACGGAGGGGGACGCCTTCGTACGTTGTATCAGATAACGGTACCAACTTTGTTTCAGGAGAACATGAACTGAGAGAACTTGTTGAACAATTAGACCAAGCGAAGATTGTTCGGGACAGTTCGCGATTCTCTCACATCAAATGCCATTTCAACCCTCCAGCTAGTCCACATTTCGGGGGAGTTATTTGAAGCCATGATAAAAAGTGCCAAGAAAGCTATAAAGGGCATCTTAGGAAATGCGGACGTCTCCGATGAAGAGCTACATACAGCCATTTGTGGGGCGGAGAAGTTATTGAACTCGAGGCCTATCACATATGTAAGTTCGGATTCCAATGACTTATGTCCTCTCACTCCCAATCATTTCATCCACAGACAGCTTGGAGGAACATTTGCGGTGGAGGCAACTGAGGAAGAAACGTTCAACCCCGGCAAAAGATGGCATTGTGTTCAACAACTAATCGGTCAAGTTTGGAAACGTTGGAGAAGGGAATTGCTACTGACATTAAATCGTAGAAAGAAGTGGTTTCATCCCACACATAATATGAAGGAAGGAGATATTGTTTTAATGATTGAGCCAAATGCAAATCGTTGTGACTGGCCGTTGGGACGTTTACTGAGACTTTTCCTGAGAATGACGGCTTGGTGCGAGTGGTCAGGGTTAAAGCTAAAGGAAAGGAGTATTTGCCACCGGTTCATCGATTATGCCCTCTTGAGTATGTTTAGTAATAAACCCGAGATATGTAGGAGATTGTACAGAATTATCGGCGAAAGAAACAGACAGTTATGAAACTAAACTGACAATATAATTTCATATTAGCGGAGTTAGTTACTCCTAGTTTTGTTAAAGTTTTAAGAATCTTAGACTATCTTGAATGTTACACATTCGGGAGGGGGATGTTACGAACAGATGACTATAGATAAAATGAAGTAGTTATAGTTTCCCGCCATATATCGCGGGCGCGGACATGTTGGGGAAAATAGATTTTATACTTTTATATTCTAACCGAGTTGGCGGTTAAAAATGCAATAAATTTGTCATAAAAATAGAGATTTTGAGTTAAACTAGGCAAGAACCAGCAAATCAGACTACGTTCTCAAGTTGGTGAGAACAGTGAGTCTTCATTATGGGATGGCCTGATAACATGAGTATTCCATAGCTAGCCACCTTGTGCAGCTCATTTTGAAGAACTGGCATAAAACAAAACTTTAAGCATTCAACTTGAATGTCTTCATTACAAAATAAGCCACGATATTGAATATCTTTGAAATAACGAATCCACCAATCTGCACAACTTCGCCTCGACTGGCTCCACCAAGATTCTATGCATTGATTCGATATTGATTTTCCATACATAAAACTGTTATCTCCCGAGAAGGAGTCATCTTGTAGAGATCTAAAATAACGTTGTATTATCGCAATGTTAGTATTTTCTGTGCCTTTCTCACCACAAACAACCCTTGCTGTTCCAGATACATGACGAGCATAGTCGACATAATATTTAGCAACAATGGTTGGATCATTGTTGGAGGAACTAACTTCCAGCCAAAGAATACAGCGACTGTATCCATCTATTGCCCCATGGATGCAAAAGCCGAATGGCTTCAATTTATCATAGACCTCTCACTTTGCATCTGCGATGACTAAGTCTGTGTTTTAAACGGGCTTCGACACCATTGGGGTCAACAACACTCAATACCTGACGAACAGTTTCCCTTGTCACAACTAATCCGTAATTATTCCTTAATCGTTGGTGCATTTCTCTGTAGCCAATAATACTTCCACTGCCATTTAGGTCTTGCATAACAGCATCAAGAACGTCTCCTACATTGCTTCGGTTCAGTCTTCTTCCTAGACGCAAATGGTGAAGAATCTGTTTCAATTGACGCACACTGAGCGTCACACCATGGAAGCTGGCAAGAAATGTGACAATTTCAATGTATGACAGACCAAGATTAAAATAATCAGTGATAACCGAATTTCTGTCATTGCGAATATGTCGAAAAAATGGCAAATAATGTTCCAGTGGAAGTCCTTCGACTGCTATGAGGATGATTGTTACGAATATAATCAAAATATCACCTTTAAATTTCATGTTCACAAGCCGAAACGATACGTTAATTGAAATTAAAATAATTAAACTAAAATACTTCTTTTGCTATTTGTTTCTTCAGATTGCCATGTTTACGAGCCCACAGTATTCACAGATTTATCGCGCAATAATTGGATTTATCGCGCAATAATAGTATTTATCGTGCAATAATAGGATTTATCGCGCAATAATTGGATTTATTGCACACTAACGAACATTATCGCGCAATAAATAAAATTGTAGCGCAACAAAATATTTGCGGTGCAGTATCCCTTCCGGGGGCTCCGTATAGATGCCATCAGATCATGGAACATTGCTTTCATGCATCATATTATAAACATTTGCAACTTTCATATAGTTTATGAAAATGATAGTATTTCATGCATGTATATGTTTCGTATACTTTACATACTTTGGCCCCGTTTACACTATACCGGATTACTTTTCATACCGGATTAATTTTTACTCTGAAGTAAAAAATCAAGGGTGTTTAGACTATGCCGTTTCACTCTGTTGCCAGCTCATGTCTTTCACTATAGCCATGGAAACAGGTAGCCAATATACCAAAATTTATTAAAAACAAGAAGTAACACCCGTTTTCTTTGTAAAGTATAACTTTGTTTAAAAAGCTTGACCGCCAGACGTTGCTTCGTTTTCCTCTAATCCACAATTTCAGAGTATTTCTTTAAATTTTGCTCTTTCGAAAGCGAAAAGTCAATGTTATTATCGTTTTCTTTACTTGTATTTGGCAGAAATAGTAAATGGTTGCAAGGTGAAACAAACAACAGCTATAAAGTATTGTAAAAGCGAGCAAATAAAGGCGACAATGTTAAAACATACACGCCAAAATTTATTTTGTACCGAAGCATACCAGATTAGCCTGTTTACACTGCTCCGGCACATACCGGATTACTTTTCATATCACCTCCAAAGCGGAGTGATTTTTGCTACGCGTCGCGTGCTAGATTACTGTGGCATAGTGTAAACAGCAGCCGAATCCGGTATGAAAATCGCTACGCTCCGATGCAATCCGGTATAACGTAAATGGGGCCTTTATATCTTTATTTTAAACAGAACTTTAAATATAATAAATATATATACTATCAATATATTAAATATGAACAGTCATGGTCCAAGTGAATATTAAAAGAGTGTCATCATGTGCTATTATTGCAACAGAACCATAGTTGATCAGCAACTACATTGCTTTGCCATGATTTGTTCTCACAATGGATGTGCTACTATTTTTTTCAAGTCAGGAATCCGAAGTTACAATAAAAAGATGTTTCGGAAAATAAAAGGTCACAAATCATCACTTTTGTAAAATAATTGGAAAACGTACTGAATATTGTGCATTTGTCTATAAAACAAGATTTCTATTCAATAGAATGACAGCTATATTTCTAGTGCATTGTATCCACAAATATCTTTTAGAACTAATCTGAATATTCTTTCTTTGTGTAAATGTAAACATAAATACATAACCAGATCCCGAAATATTTTTAATGAAGCCTTAAAAATTGTAACGTCTGTCACATGTAACATCTGTCACATTTTTGCAATGCCACAACTGGGCCCAAAATTGGCCAAAAATAAATATTTATCATATTCAAATCACCTATCTTACTTACACTAAGTATTATTCGTACTGCCTGCGATGCCGCTGGCTATTAGAATGCGGCTCTAAAAATGTTATGTTTTCATATAAATAAACGACACTCAAAGTTCTTATTTTAAACTACTAAACTATTTTCGTTGATGAAATGCCTCTAACAGCAGCTCAAAGGCAAGCAAAAAGAAGACGGAAATTAAAAGACAACAGGCAGTACGAAGAATACAAGAAAAAAGTGCACTGCAAAAACTAGAGCAACGACTTGTCCAAAAGAGGAAGGAGGAACAGCTTAAGCTTCAAAATGAGTGGAGAAAGAAGACAAGAGAAAGAGTAGCTAAACATAGGGCATTAAAAACAATTAACAACACCAACTGCTCCTTCCCAAGCATCACCTGCACTGCATACAAAAGTGCCCAAAGCTATGAGCAAGATGATGTTAGCCTCCAAAGCCCCTGGTATAGAAAGGATGTTGTGGTTGTTTGTGACCATAATGGTAACAAGATAAAATACAAGCTCGTCACCTCACCTCCCTAATCAATGAAGTGTATGGAATGTTCAAGGATGCACATCTTGATGTTACGATTGGAAAAAGCAAGTTTGCTGAACTAAGACCAAACATATTCTCCCAAAAAGTGTTTGCCTTTGCAAATATCATGAGAACTTTATCCTGGCAGTTAATACACACCACAAAATATGTGATACTTTTCCACCATACCAACATGAACTCATAGAGAAATTCATATGTGAAACAGCTTCTGAAGATTTTTGGTTGAATCGTTGTGAGGAATGCTGTGATGCTAGAGTTCTTTCTGAAAACTATTCTGTTGAAGAGTTGCAAACTGTTGTCTGGTATGAATGGAGACAGGATGAAAGTGGCTGCCTGAATAAAGTTGTAAATGAAGGCTTAACTGATGATCTATTCAACCACATCTGTTCAATCACACTTAATAAAATAAGATGGTTTGGCTAGCCGGCAAACTTCAAAGGGATTAGGCGACGGCGGCAAAATATGTTGAGGATCAAGGGAAAAAGATGTCACGTGACGGTTTTAGTGCATGGCTTGAGACCAATTACTATAAGATTATATTATAGTTTCCAATGTTTTCATGTTTCATCGCGAAATAACGGCGCTAATAACATTTATTTTTGTGCTAAACTAAAGTCATATCATACAAAGAGTTATGGACGACGATTTAGAGGCGATTGTATCGATTCCCAGAGAATTGGAAGGCGAAAGTTGTTCGAGCAACATTGTCGAGGAGTTGGCGTTTATTTGAACATGAAGAAACCTGCGAGGATATTTTCCCTTATAATTTTGAAAGTGCGTTGTCTTTTATTGAAGAAGTCGAAGCAACTATGGAAGAGGAGGTCGCAGACGCTGTGAGCGAAATATCAGGCGAAAATAACTTTCCTTGCAAAAATTGTGACAGGATTTCAGGATTTGCAAGTCGAAAGGTGGCTTGACAAGACATAAAAATGCATAACATGGGAACAAAATTACAGCGGGGAAAGAGAACGTTTCTGCATCGAAGATATCGCTGACACCTGAGTAGTTAAAATCCATTGTTGATAAAGTTAAGACAAAAATAAAGGAGGATGCTTTCTGGGACAGCGAAATGACGTCGAATATGGCAAGCATAACATCGAACGATTCACTATATACGATAATATATTGCCAATTTATGAACGATTTTGTCGAAAGCTAAATCAATATTCATTCTTAGCAGACTTTCGTCTTGCCTATTGCAGTCTAAAAACCAACAATTATGCAGTCGTAGACGCTATTGATATGATCTCAGATACTAGGGACACCCTACCCCCGAGACAACTTCACTGCACGGCTATATGAGAAACACTCGCCCTGGCACTGTATCCCCTCCTACAAGAATGGCTCTAAGTGCGAGATCGTGACTCCTGAAACATGCAGTTATTTGTTTGATGGCCTGGGAATCAGGGAATGAAAAGTTATCTGTGGAGGCCGAGACAAATTGTTTACATGGACAAAAGTTGTCCCTATGACCAAGGGTAACCCTGTTTTGTAAACAGGGTGTCCCTACCGCCAGGGTGACCCTACCAGCCGAGACGAGTTGAAAACTTTCCATATAAACACTTGCATTTAAATTAAATGTTATATAATGAATATAATTTTGCCTCTCCTTGGGTAGCTCGGGGGTAAGGTGACCCTATTACCCGAGATCATATAAACAGCACCTAATAATGATTTCAATACCAGACCATTTAGTGACATTCTCAAAAGGCCTTACTACATGCAGTGGACATGCTGGAATTTCTTCAGAACTTAATGAGAATGAACACGGTCCCCTGTCCTACATAGCATGGTATGTGTTGTCAAATCTGAAGAAAAAGTCCAAAAACAAAGCAAATGACGACGGCTTCAAATAATTTTAGAACATATGATCAGTTCTGGTTTGGAAAATGAATACTTTAAGGCACACAGTCAAGGAGGTCTGGCTACACCATGTAATGATTTGGTCAAACTACTAGAGGTTGTAGGGATTCTATTCAGACAGTTTATATATAGGGAAAAAAAAGTTAATTTGGCTTTATGATCCTTAGATAAACATACTTTTTGTACATACAATTAAATAAATTAAAAAATATTTGTAATGATAATTTCAGTGCCTTAACAAAGTGCATAGCAATTGATATAATTTATGTCATTGTCCACCATTCCAAAAATACTTTTAACATAGCCAATAATTAACACCCTACACTCCATACCCCTGGGCCTAAATATACTAGAGCCGTGTTTACACTGTGAGCCTAAGCCTGGCCTGGGCCTACCTTTGGACCAGATTTTTTAGTGTAAATGCACTTCAGCCTGGCCTAGGCCAGGAAATCTGGGCCTATCAGAACAGTTGGCCCAGATTTCCTAGCCTAGGCCAGGTTGAAGTGCATTTACACCACAAAAATCTGGTCCAAAGCTAGGCCAGGTTTAGGCTAGTAGTGTAAACATGGCTTAGGGCATAGTGGGATAGGGTTGGGCAATGGGTGCTCGCCATATCACCATGTTGGAAAGAACCAACAAAGGGGATACCTATACACATTTTAGTAGAAGTCAGATAATTTAAATAGGGCTCATCAATTTATTTTTAGTTCAATAAGCTATTTGACTGTTTTGTGTACAAGATACAAATTTAACATAGCAATATGTTATATATAGCAATATAGCATCCTTTGCAATGGAGTTTAGGTATTCTTTCTGTCGTAAACTTTGCATATCTTGAATCTCATCCGTCATCTATGGCTTGAATAAATTTTGTGATCATCAAGGGAGAAGCCAATTGTAAACATGTAACAAAAATGTAAACATGAATCTATAATGAGCACAAATTTGTGAATTGAATATCGCTGTCCCGAAGTTCAATTC